TATGATAACTTCAATTTAAATCAATTAATGAAATATTGTAATTTTTAAACAGCCATTACTCAATACAATCCACAAGATGCCACCACTAATCCTTCTTTAATCTTGGAAGCGTGTAAAAACCCTAAATATGATTATTTAATTAATTCTGCAATAGAATATGCAAAGGAGAAAGAATCGTAATTATCATTTAATATATAATTTATCTTTTATAATTTCGAATTTAAATAATAATAAAAGTTTTCGATCTTTTAATTTTTATTAGATCAACTGAAAAAATAATTGAATTAGCTTCCGACAAATTGGTAAAATTTTTTCTTTCTGCTTATTTTATATTAGTAACTTAAAACTAATTCTTAAACTTAATTATTCATAATTTCATCTTTTATATAGTTAATAAATTTTGGCTCGGAAATCCTTAAAATTATTCCAGGGCGCATCTCGGTCGAGGTGGACGCCAAACTCTCCTTCAACACTTTAGCCACCGTAGCTAAATCGCGGCACCTAATGGCTCTTTTTGAAGAAGTTGGCGTTGATAAGTCACGTGTCATGATTAAGATTGCTTCCACCTGGGAAGGAATTCAAGCCGCAAAAATCCTTGAAAATGAAGGAATTAAATGTAATATGACACTCTTATTCTCCTTCACTCAAGTAAGCTTCTTTTAAATCTTATTACCCTCAATATTTTTCTTAACAATATATAGTTATGCATATTCAATTTATAAATTAATTTTTATAGGCTGTGGCTTGTGCTGAGGCTGGTGTAACCTTAATCTCCCCATATGCTGGTCGAATCCTTGATTGGTACATGAAAAATACAAACAAGACTTACAAATCTTACGAAGATCCCGGGGTTTTGTCTGTTATCGAAATTTATAATTATTATAAAAAATTTGGCTATAAAACCATCGTCATGGGTGCTAGCTTCCGTAATACGGGAGAAATTGAGGAACTAGCGGGCTGTGACTTTTTAACAATCGGTCCCGCATTGTTAAACAAGTTACAAAACAGCTATAAAAAAATAGAAAGGAAAATAAGCCCCGATACAGGTATATTTTAAATATTTTTAAATGGTTAGATGTTTTATGTTTATGAATTTTTTGGAAAATTATAAATATTTATTATAACCTTTAATTATTTTTGGGAATAGCGCATCAT